GGAGGGGAGGGGAGGGGAGGGGAGGAGCTGCTGCAGAGTTGCTGTGCCCATGAGCTGCAGTCCCAGGGACCCACAACTTGCTAGGGTTTTAGCAAGAAGCTCGGGCTCCATGCTGGACAGCACATGTCTTACATATCTGCCTAAGCTCAAAAAACTTCTATTTTGGCCGGGAGCAGTGGCTCATGCCTGTAATCCCAGCACTTTGGGAGGCTGAGGTGGGTGCATCACCTGAGGTCAGGAGCTTGAGACCAGCCTGGCCAACGTGGTGAAACCCTGTCTGTACTAAAAATACAAAAATTAGCCATGCGTGGTGGTGGACGCCTGTAATCCCAGCTACTCGGGAGGCAGAGGCAGGAGAATCGCTTAAACCTGGGAGGTGGCGGTTGCAGAGAGCTGAGATTGCGCCACTGCACTCCAGCCTGGGCAATAAGAGCAAAACTAAGTCTAAAAAAAAAAAAAAGCAAAAAGAAAAAAACCTATTTTGCCCATAATCCTCCCTGGGCAGCAGTGACTTGGCCTGGGGCAAGCACTGGGAGTTGAGACTCTGGAAGCTGTTGTCATGAGATCTCTGCTAGGCCCCTGAGCTCAGGCTTGCTGCATTTTGGTGCCACTCCTGGCACCTGGTTTCTTGCCCCGGGGCTTCCCCTCAAGAGCTGTTCTGGAGGCAAGCAGGGCAGACCCCATAACCTGGGGTCCGCATATTGGTGCAGATGACATCTGCCCTCCCCTCTCTGTTTTGGAGGTCCCTTGTCTGGCTGAGAGGACAAGAGGGCCCCATATTCCCTGCATGTCCCACAGCAGAGCCGGAGCCTGAGCTGGACCTGGAGCCGGAGCCCACACCCGAGCCCCAGCCGCGGAGCTCCATGCGGGCTTCCTCCATGTGCCGCCGCAGCCTCCGGTCCCAGGGCCTGGAGGCTGGCCTCAGCTGCGGTAAGGCCGGTGTCGGGGGGAGGGTATGAAAGGAGCTCAGTTTTTCCACCTGCAAAATGGGCTTGGTGAGGTGGGGAATCCCAGGGAATGGGGCTAAGCAGGGCTCAGGATTGGCCCTCCTGGGTCTGTGGGGCCTGTTGGTTCTGGACCGGGGCCTGAGCCTTAGAGCTCAGATACATTACCGTACAGACATCATTACCGTAATGACATTGTTCCTCGGTAGGTCCTGGCGAGTGCCCTGAGATGCCTCTTCCCCTGATCCCAGGCGAGCGCCAAGCGGGCGATGGCACTTCCCTCCCTGAGACCCCCAACCCCAAGATGGTGAGACCTTCTCACTGCCCTCCAGGTGGGGTCAATAGGGGGCGGGGAATGGACGGTCCGTAGGACTGGGCCCAGGAGACCCAGGCCAAGGGGCTGCTTCAGGCTGGGGCAGATCCCTGCCTCCCGGCCCACCCAGGCCTGGCCTTGAGGCCACATTAGGGCCATGAGGAGAAGTAGGGTGGGCTGGACTCACCCCCGCCTCCCTCCAGATGTCAGCCGTCTATGCAGAGCTCGAGTCTCGACTGAACAGCAGCTTCAAAGGGAAGATGGGGACCGTGTCCAAATCCCGGGCTTCCCCTCCGGGCCCCAGCCCGGCAGTCACCACAGGTAGGGCTCCAGCCTCTGTCCTCTTGACTGTCCGGATGTTTCCCTCCACCCCAGGCTCAGCCCTGGAGCTGCTTCTCTGCTCCATCAGGGTCAGGGTTGTCCCAGTCCCTCCCATGGCCCTGTGACCCTCACCTCAGCTGTGGATCAAGACAGTAGCCTGGGTACCGTGGATTGTGCCTGTAATCCCAGCACTTTGGGAGGCCAAGGCAGGAGGATCAGTTGAGCCCAGGAGTTTGAGACCACCCTGGCAACATAGTGAGACCCCATCTCTACAAAAAAAAAAAAATACAAAATTAGCTGGGCATGGTTGCGTATGCCTGTAGTCCTAACTCCTCAAGAGGCTGAGCTGGGAGGATCACTTGAGCCCAGGAGTTCAAGGCTGCAGTGAGCTGTGATCGAGCCCCTGCACTCTAGCCTGTAAGCAACAGAGCAAGACCCTATCTTAAAAAAGAAAAAGAGGCCGGACGCGGTGGCTCACGCCTGTAATCCCAACACTTTGGGAGGCTGAGGCGGGTGGGTCACGAGGTCAGGAGATTGAGACCATCCTGGCTACACGGTGAAACCCTGTCTGTACAAAAAATACAAAAAAATTAGCCGGGTGTGGTGGCACGTGCCTATAGTCCCAGCTACTCAGGAGGCTGAGGCAGGAGAATCGTTTGAACCCGAGAGGCGGAGGCTGCAGTGAGCTGAGATTGCACCACTGCACTCCAGCCTGGGCAACAGCGAGAATCTGTCTCAAAAAAAAAAAAAAAGAAAGAAAGAAAGAAAAAGAAGGCAGATGTTGGCAGATGACTGTTTCTGAAGAAGTCCCCGAGTTAGCAAGGGGTTATTGGATAAACTATCGAGTGCACGTGTTGTCCTGTGAATGGCACAGCTGGGAAGACAGTTGCTCTGCAGCTCAGAAGGCAGGACCCCTGGGAGATCCTCCTGTCATCTCAGGGCTTTCTGGGCATGCGAGATGCCCCGTGACTCTGGGTCTGGGCCCTAGAGAAGCCCCTCCACCCTTTGAGTTAGTGGTGTTCAGTGGCTCCCAGCTGGGACCCCTGGTGACCATTCCAAGGTGAGCTGGCATCCAGCCTGTCCTGAGGCTGAACAATGCTTCTGCTCACTGGGTCTGGCCTTTGGTCATGCTTGGAAGGCAGGGCCGCCCAGGGTCTTCCTGCACTGTGCCCAGAGAGGGAAAGGGGAGTGGCCCGGGACACAGAGCCAGCCTGCCCTAGGGCCCTCTCTCCAGCTTGCACCTGGAACCCCAGTGCTGGCTGAAGAGGAATCCTCATACTCCATCCCCCCTCCAGGGCCCAGGACCCTGTCCGGCGTCTCGTGGCCCAGCGAGCGACTCTTGCCCTCCCCCTGCTACCACCCGCTGTGTTCAGGGGGTCTGGCCTCCCCCAGCAGCTCTGAGTCCCACCCCTACGCCAGCCTGGACAGCAGCAGGGCGCCCTCCCCACAGCCAGGCCCCGGGCCCATCTGCCCTGACAGCCCCCCAAGCCCGGACCCCGCCCGCCCGCCCAGCCGCAGGAAGCTCTTCACCTTCTCCCACCCTGTGCGAAGCCGTGATACTGACCGCTTCCTGGACGTGCTGAGCGAGCAGCTGGGCCCCCGGGTCACCATCGTGGATGATTTCCTGACCCCCGAGAATGACTACGAGGAGGTGGGCACGCAAGCAGGTGTGGAGGGAGGCGGGTGAGGCAAGGTGTGGCGGTCCGCAAAGCAATAGTGTTCCTGGGCTCCTGAAGGGGCCTGCTGCCCTTGGGATCTTCCCCAGGCTATCCCACTCCCTGGCTCAAGCTATCCCACTCCTTGCCCCAGGTTACCCTATCTCCTGTTTGAGGTTATCATGCTCCTTGTCTGAGGTTAGCCTGTATTCGCTGTCCCAGGTTAGCCCATTCCTTAGCTCAGGCTATCCCACCCACAGCCTGAGGCTAACCTGTAAGAGGGTCCTATCCTTATTCCAGGCTATCCCCCTCACACCCTGAGGCTAACCCGTGAGAGGGTCCTATCCTTAGCCCATGCTATGCCCCTCACAGCTTGAGGCTAACCCATGAGACAGTCCTATCCTTATCCTAGGCTGTCCCCCTCACAGGCTGAGGCTAACCCGTGAGACGGCCCTATCCTTGTCCCAGGCTATCCCATGATCCTTCACTTTGCACCTGCTCTAGTCTCTCTGGGCCTAGCCTCATCCTCCCCTTGCCTCTCTCCCCACCACCAGATGAGCTTCCATGATGACCAGGGCAGCTTCGTAACCAATGAGCGGAGCAGCGCCAGCGACTGTGTCAGCAGCAGTGAAGAAGGCAGCTCCCTGACCTACTCCTCCATCTCTGACCACATCCCCCCACCCCCACTCAGCCCCCCTCCACCACCACCCCTGCCTTTCCATGACCCCAAGCCCAGCTCCCGTGGCTCTGATGGTTCCCGGGGCCCTGCTCAGGCGCTGACCAAGCCCCTCACCCAACTCAGCCACCCAGTCCCTCCACCACCCCCACCGCCCCTGCCTCCACCCGTGCCCTGTGCACCCCCCATGCTGTCCCGGGGCCTGGGCCACCGGCGCAGTGAGACCAGCCACATGAGTGTCAAGCGCTTGCGGTGGGAACAGGTGGAGAATTCAGAAGGCACCATCTGGGGTCAGGTGGGTGACCTGGGACCCACCAGTGCTCTGTACTGGGGGAGGATGGCTTGGGCAGCATCACTGAAGGAAAACCCATCTACCAGGCATCTTCCAACATCATACTCCCTACCCCAAGCAGAGGATGAGTAGACGCCCAGCCCAAGGACATCCCCATGCTTGGGGGCCATTGCAGGCATTGAAGCCAATCTATGTCCCTAAGCCAACGACACACACTGGGGACACCTGGAAATGCCACCGTACCCATCCTTGAAACCTATCGCTCTTGAGGCCACACGAGTTCTCTTAAACCCTTAAAAGAGCATCTGGTTCAAACTCCTGCACACCAGCCTTCACCCTTTCACTTTGATGCTTGAATTTCTTCCCGCACAACACTGCCAGGGTATGCTTGAACACCTTCAGTGATGGGGAACTCACTACCTGTCAAGGTCTTCCTTTCCTCACTGGACGATTTTAACCATCCTTTGTCTTGCTCTGAAATCTTGTCTCCCCAGGATTCCCATGCCCTGTTTTCTTTCTGGCCCTTGAAATCAGGCAGAGCAATCTTATCCACAGACCAAACAATCTGCAAGATGAACAAGGTTCACCCCACCTCTTTTTTTTTCAGGTCATTCTCTTAGAATGTGGTTTCCAGCCCCCACTCCAGTGTCCATGTCCCTGTCAAAGAGACATTCCCAGATGGAACCCCCAATGGGGGTTCCAGCTCAGAGGAGAGAACAGGGTTCTCACTTCCTTTGACCCAGACATCATACTCCTTTTAATATGGCAGGGACTCCTTCCAGCTCCTGAGGCTGCCCCAACCCAGTGCTCATGCTCACCATCATCCTCAACTGCATCTTCTTGGGATCCATAACACGCTCTCACGTGTAGTCACACTGGGCAGAAGCATGCTTGTGATTTTTTCCCCACTGCCATCTCCTGGGTCCCAGTTCTGTCTCCTGCCTTCTCAGCCAAGATATCATCAGCCCACATCTCCAGGGACCCTTTCCAAGTTGCTAATAAAGATGCCCAGTGAGACCAGTCTTGGTGGTTCATGCCTGTAATCCCAGCACTTTGGGAGGCTGAGGTGGGAGGACTGCTTGAGCCCAGGAGTTCAAGGCAAGCCTGGGCAACATAGTGAGATCTCGTCTCTACAAAGAATTCAAAAAATTAGCCGGACATGGTGGTGCATGCCTGTGGTCCCAGCTACTCGGGAGGCTGAAGAGGGAGGATCACTTGATTCCCAGAGGTGGAGGTTGCAGTAAGCCAAGATGGCACCACTGCAGTTCAGCCTGGGGTACAGAGTGAGACCCTATCTCAAAAAAAAAAAGACAAAACAAAACTCAGACAAGGGCACAAATAGGGACCTCCTGAGTCCCCTGGAGACCTCACTCCTGCCAACCTTAAACCAGTCTCCAAGTCTTGCTCCACAGCATGGTTCTTCCTTTGGTTACCAAAGGCGGAGACAGGGACACAGGTCACACATCTGGCCAAGCCCAAATCCATCCTCAGTGTCCCTGCCCTGCAGCTGTGTTCTAAGACTTCATTCCCCTGCCTGCCCTCCCTTTGGGTCATCTCCCTTTGGCAGGCACTCCATCCTCACTCCCTGTCCCAGCCCCAGGCTGTCACCTCTCATCTATGCCATTCATCACAGCCACGTGTCCAGCGTCTGGCCCTTAGGCTGTCACAGCTGCAGTTCTCCCTGCAGCAGCTCACTCTGCCCAGGGCAGCCCTGGTGAACTCACCGCCCTCCAAGGAGACCTAATGACAGAGCCAGACCCCGAGCCACCTCTGGTAGCCCCTTAGTTGGCTCTAGCCTCTTCACAGCTCCTTCATGCCCCTGCTTCAGTCCCACCTTGCTGGCTTCTGCACGAGTAGAGTTCCAAGTCTTGAGTCTCGATTAACCCAAAGAGGCGCTGGCTCAGCACCCAGTGACTCGGATGATCTGGCTTTTCCTGCAGTCTCCTCCGGCTCTAGGCTTGATCCCAGCACCTGATGGGTGCTTTTGCTCGGGAAGTCCCCAGGGCGGCCCTCAGAGGGTGGGAAGTGGGAGTCCAGTCCAGCTGCTGCTGCTCTTCCTCCTCTGAACTTCCCATCTTCCCTGGCAGCTCGGGGAAGACTCCGACTACGACAAGCTGAGTGACATGGTGAAATACCTTGACCTGGAGCTCCACTTCGGCACCCAGAAACCTGCAAGTGAGTGGCCTGATGGCCTTAGGGGAACCCCAGATACCACACCATCTGTGACAGTCCCAGGCTTAGTATCTCCCGGGGCTGCACTGACTGCTATTTAACCTGATGTGTCCTCAAGCCTTCCGTCCCTGAGTTATTTAATAGCTGGCATTTAGGCCGGGCACAGTGGCTCATGCCTGTCATCCCAGCACTTTGGGAGGCTGAGATGGGTGGATCGCCTGAGCTCAGGAGTTTGAGACCAGCCTGGGCAACGTGGGAAAACTCCTGTCTCTACCAAAAATACAAAAAATTAGTCAGGCATGGTGGAGGATGCCTGTGGTTCCCAGCTACTTGGGAGGCTGAGTTGGGAGGATCAATTGAGCCTGGGAGGTGGAGGTTGCAGTGAGCCGTGATCACACCACTGGACTCCAACCTGGTAACCTGGGTGACCCAGTGAGACCCTGACTCAAAAAAAAAAAAAAAAAAAAAGCTGGCATTTATTGTGCAGTGATCAAATACCAGGGACTCTAATTTCTAAATCCCATGGCAATTCTATGATGTACATACTGTGATCACCACCCACTTCCTCATGAGGAAGCACAGAGAGGTGAGGTAATTTGTTCACAGTCACACCGTAGACAGGGGGCATCCACAAATATATCTTCCAGGCTCCCTTGCCCTCACCCTTTCCTGGGTATCTCCCTGTTGTTGCTAGGTGGAACAGGCGGTCCCAGGATGGAACAGAAAGACCTGGCCTCCTGCAGCATGGAGGATGCACAGGGCACGGGGTGGGGGAGGTTACACACAGGACCTGAGGCCTGAGGGTCCCTGACCTGAGGAATGAGGGGACTATGGACATGCGTAGCTGATTAAGTCGAGGTCGTCCTTAGGGGAAATCGTGGCTGTTGGCTGTGGCCACACCACTCCTGGGCCTTCCCACTGCAGCCTCAGCCTAGCCCCCTTCGTAAACTGTCAGTTTCTTTTCCAGAACCGGTGCCGGGGCCGGAGCCCTTCCGGAAGAAGGAGGTGGTGGAGATCCTGTCCCATAAGAAGGCCTACAACACCTGTGAGGGTCCGGGGAACCCTAGGGGGTGTAGGGGGCAGGTGGCGGCCCTTTCTCTGGGCCTCAGACCTGCCCAGGTGGATGACAGAGATTAGGCGGTGGGTACCCGGACTCCAGTCGCTCAGCGCGGTGAAGGCCCCCTCCCAGGCCCCATAGCCAGCCAGATCCCACCTGGGCGCAGGTGCCGGCCCCGCCCTCACTGTGTAATCAACTCCCCGGTTCTGGCCCCGCCTCCAGCCTCATTCCCTCTCTCCTTCGCAGGCCCCGCCCTTGTCCCTGGCCCGACCCCCATAGGCTCCACCCAGCTTCTTAATCTAGCGCCTCGAGAACCCCGTCCTCACCCTTAAATCGGTAGCTGAAAGACCGTCTCTATTTCAGGGCCCGCCCCTGCCCCGCCCCCTACGGCACCCCTCGCAGGCCCCGCCCCTGTGCCTTGTCTTCTCCATTCAGTCTCCTCCCTGTAGCCGAAGCCCATCTGGAAGGTCCGCCCTCTCCCTACTGGGCCCCGCCCTCTACCCCAGCTCGATCTCAACCAGCAGCCCCGCTCCTTTTCCTTGCTCCTGCCCCCTCCAGGCTCCTCACAGTAGCCCAGGCCAATCCCAAAGCCCCGCCCTCTTTCCACCTGAGTCCCGCCCCAGTTTATTCTCGTAGACCCCGCCCTGTTCATTGTCCCCCACCCCTCTAGAGTTCCTCCAGTAGCCCAGGCCCCGCCCCAGCTCTCCCTCGCAGGTCTACCCGCTTTCCTTGTCCTCTGCCCCTTCAGATTCCTCCCTGTAGCCTGGGCCAACCTGGAAGCCCCGCCCTCTTCCTGCCGGGCCCCAACCTCTCCTTGCCCCTGCTCACCGATCGGCCCCGCCCCTTTTCCTTTTTTCTTCCCCTCCCAGGCTCCTCCCCTTAGCCCAGGCCAATCTTGAAGCGCCGTCCTCTCCCCACCCGGTATCCGCCTCAGCGCATCCTCTGGTCCCTGTCCGCGTTTCTGGTCCCTCCAGCCTCAAGGCCCCGCCCTCTCCCGTAGGCCCCGCCCCGTCCCCGCTTCTCTCCGCCTCTGCCCTCCCTCTCCGTCTTGGATCCCATCCGGCCCCGCC